GGTAGGTGCACCTGCGCCCGAGCTGTCCCTTTGAAGAAATCTACCTCCTCGCTCTTCGTCGGGTCTACGCGTACTTCTTTGACTGTTGGTATTCTCATGCTGTCGGCCATCTTGCCAAGGACGATCTTACTCATTGCCCACATCATCATGTTGTCATGTATTTTTGCGGCAGAGTTGGTGATAGACGGTGCAATCGTCCTCATCAGCAGATGGAACAAACGTGGCACACCAGGTAAACGCTATTCGATAAAGTTACACCATTAGACTAGTCAGCGCTGACTAGTCTAGTGCTGACTAGTCTAATGGCGCTGACTAGTCTAGACTAATGGTGTAACTTTATCGAATAAAAGATATGCTCAGAGCTCATTTGCACCCGGCTGGATCACATTTAATTTTTGGCTTCGTGAGTAGAGATCTCCGGGGACGGACCCCTCGCCAGACGCTGCCTGAAAAGAACTCAATGGTGCTTGGGTGACCAGTCGGGTTATGAACCCGTGCGTGAATCCTTTTTCGCCAAATGTTTAACCATTAGACCAGTCAGCGGGCCGGCTGACTAGTCTAATGGTGTAACTTTATCGAATAAAAGATGGCGTTTTCAGTTGATAGCTGGCTTGAGGGTCGTCAAGCGTTGCTAGTCGGAGCATCGATTCCGCCGGGTCACCACGGGCGATTTTGGAAACGAAATTCCTCTGGAACTCTTCTGTGTCCCTACTGGGATCCCGACAACTGGCATGCCACCTCCAGCAACTGACAGACCAATTTTCGTCAATTGTTGCTGTTTGTCGTTCGTCAAAGAGGACATGCAAAGACCTTCCGGGAAAAGCACTTTGGATTTCGGGAGACTGGGCTCAATCCCTTGTTGGGAGAGAAGGTGTGTGTGTGTGTGTGTGTGTGTGTTTTCTTCCTCTTTATTATGGCGACAGTCCCCCCATGTTTCGTGGTACTACACTTTTCAGCGTATGTAGAATACTACACTTTTCAGTGTATTAATTCGTACAACTACAACCATCCAGGGTCACACAAGAGGGG